CAGGGAAGCCCCAAGAATACTGGAGTGGGTACCCTACCCTTTCTCTGGGGGATCTTGGCGACCCAGGAATACAGCCGGGGTCTCCTGCATTGCACGTGGAGAAACTCTGCTGTAGAAAGTATTTATATATCCAGGGTCCCACCAGTCTTAATGCATATTTAAGCTCTAATAATTTCAGAAGTATAAACAAGTTTTGCTTTTAGAGCAGTTTTAATTGTGCAGGGGAAAAAAAACTTTATGAAAGTTCAAAGCGTTACCATATATTCCCCCCACCCCATTGCCCCCAGTATTATTAACATCTAGTATTGGTGTGGGACATTTGTTGTCATTGGTAAACCAGTACTGATACATTATTACTAAAGTCCATAGCTTATGTTAGGTTTCACTCTTAAATGTATCTTCTGCGAGATTCCATAAATGCATGATGTCCTATGGCCACCATGGCAGTTCACACAGAATGGTTTCAGTGCTGTGAGCTACAAATTGGCATTTACCGTCTTCCTCTGCTGATCCCCACGTGGTGCAGTGGTAAAGAATCCGCCTGCCAATGCAGGAGGCACAAGAGACTTAGGTTCGATCCCTGGGTTGGGAAGATCCCCTGGAAAAGGGCATGACAACCCACTCCAGCATTTCTGCCTGGAAAATTCCATGGACAAAGGAGCCTGATGGGCTACAGTCCATGGGGTCGCAGAGTCAGACATGACTGAGCATGCGTGCACTCACGGACATCTACCTCTACAAGGATCAAATCACATGCTGCTGCAGCTGCTGACCTTCAACACCCCCTGAAAGGAGTGCAGGGTGGAGAGCAGAAATGAGGCACTCTGTGCTCTGGGGAAAACTGGCAGGACAAGTCTTCAGATAGATATTTTTAGGAGCCGATCTTATGAGCCCAATTCTTGCATCTCCTCCTATCTAGAAAAGCATTAAAATCCTTCACGATGACTTCTTGTGACCAGCAGGAACCTTCTGCAAAAAATATGTGCTTGATTGCACGTACTCCGCCTTCACCAAAATCACATATACACTGACCTTTCTCTTCCCTCTTTGGAGTGGTTTCTCAAAGCTATCTGAGGTACTGGCTCCCAGGCTGCAGCCCGCATTTTGCCCAGATAAAACTTAACTTGCAGCTCTCACATTGTCTTTTTTTTTTAAGTTGACACTGCCCTAAAGACCCCTGTGTTTTTCCTCACTCTCTCTTTACCCTTCTCCAACCCCTGGCAACCACTAATCTTTTCACTGTCTATAGTTTTACCAACCTATTTCTAAAATCATTTAAACATTTAGCTATTTAAATCTACAACTTTTTCAACTTTACTTCTGTTATTTCTTTTGCTTCTCTCTCTCTCTCTTTTTTTTTTTTTTTTTGGTCTTATTTGAGCCATGCTGTAGGGCTTGCAAGATCTCAGTTCCCCAACTACGGATTGAATCTGCACCATGGCAGTAAAAGCCCAGAATCCTAACCACTAGAATTAAAGTTTAGGAACCCCCTAAACTTTAATTTTGTTGTTTTAGTCATCATGGCCATCTACAGTCAGGAGGACTGAGAGGAAAATTTTAAAGTCTTATTTCAAACTCATGAGACTAGATAAATATAAAGGAAATGTCAACTTGCAAATGCCAAATGCTGATTTTTCTAAGTTAACTCTTGCGTCCAAAGTTCCTAAAGGAGAAAACTGGGCTCAGACATTTGGAACACACTGAATCCGGGAAAGGGGGAGCAGTCAGTTTCACAAATCTCACAGACCAGGAACAGTACCTGTGAGAAGATGCTGGGAGGTCTCTCGGGGGAACCAGGTGATGGATGGACAGGCAAGGGTCATGGGGGTAGGGGAGTCCCTGCAGAAGGACCTCCGTGAGTGAGAGTAATGGGTTGGGGGAAATGCCAGCTGTTCAGTGGTTAGGGCCCAGCCTTCACACTGGCCCAGGGCAAGAAATGAGGCTGGACAGGTCAGTTGAGTCATAGAGGCCACTGAAAACCATGTAAAGATTGGATGCTAGCCCGTGGGCCATAGGGAGCCACTGAAGAGTTAGGAACAGCAGTGACACCGTGGGTTTGTGCAGGGGAAAGCCCAACAGATCTGTAGTAGAGAAACCTCACGCGGATCTACGGGGACAGTCCAGGGCCCGCCACCCTCCAGGTCTCCTCCTCCACCTCTGTGCCTCTCTGGGGGTGACCTCGGGACTGAATCTCGCCAGTGGAAAGTGAGCAGACAGGTTTCATTTCTGGGCAGATGCATTTCAACAGAAGCTTAAATTCATGCACAATTCACACTCTCCACCTTTGAAGACTTGTGTTCAGATGGTGGCAGCGTCACATGATGGCGACTCTGTCTGCATCCCTGAGCGACCATGGGCAGGGGCCTCAGTCAATGAAGCCAGAGCCAAAAATAAACATTGCTGCCTTGAGCCTGTGCAGCCTGGGGGATGTTAGTTCTGGCAACGTAGCCTGGACCAGCAGATACAGAAACTATTGCAGACCCAGGAGGACAGGGCCTGAGCCTAGGCAGTAGCGATGATGGAAGTGGTGGCCTGGGACGTGTCCGTCACCACCCCAAACACAGTGGTTTAAAACGGTGTTTACTGGGTGGGTTGGGCAGCTCTCGTGGACTCGGCTGGACTCACTCGTACATCTATCATCATTTGTGCGTCTGCGGCACTTGGTCCTGTGTGTCTCAGGGTCACTGGTTTGGAAAGGCCTTGGCTGGGACCCCTGGAGTGACTTGGCTTAGCTCCACGTCTAACCTTCCATGGTCTAGCCCAAAGATGGCCTCACAGTCATGGCAGAGGGACATGAGAGGGAATGAAGACAGGCTTTTACGAGGTTTCTCTTAGGTCCCATTTGCTAACACCTCCTTAGCTAAGTAACTCACATGCCTGAGCCCAGAGTCAATGATAGAACAGAATGCACTGCAAAGCTAGACAGCCAAGGGCACAGATGAAGAAGAGGATGAAGAATCAGACCAGTCTCATAGCCAGGCCACCACACCCCCTAGTGGGGAAGCCACAGGACTTGATGCCTGAGTGACTGTCAAGGAAGACACCACAGACACCTCCAATGGTGAGTACCAATGTTTACCCCCATCTCTGTACCCACCTGCCACTGCACCCATCAGGACGTGGTGTCTGATTCCCCAGCTTGTGAACCTGGGCTACCCTTGTGACTTGCTCTGACCAGCAGAATGTGAGAGCGTGAGCCTGTGCAAGATCCCAGCCTTGCCCAGCGGCCATGGAAAGGTGATCAGGCTGGACCAGTGAGTGAGGAGAGGCCACGTGTAGACAGGTGCCATGTGGTGGGAAATCCAGAGGAGCACGAGAGAGTCTTGGATCTTCTAGTCAGCCCCCGCCTGAATGAAGCCACACGGGTGAGCCCAAATAAAACCAGAGGAGTCATGAGAAATAAGAAGCCGCTGTTGTCTTAACCACTAGCTGCTGCTGCTGCTGCTAAGTCACGTCAGCCGTGTCTGACTCTGTGCCCCACAGACAGCAGCCCACCAGGCTCCTCTGTCCCTGGGATTCTCCAGGAAAGAATACTGGAGTGGGCTGCCATTTCCTTCTCCAGTGCCTGAAAGTGAAAAGTGAAGGTGAAGTCGCTTGGTCATGTCCGACTCTTTGTGACCCCGTGGAGTGTAGCCTACCAGGCACCTCTGTCCATGGGATTCTCCCGGCAAGAGTACTGGAGTGGGTTGCCATTGCCTTCTCCACTGGTTAATTTGTTACGCAGCAATTGCTAACCGATACAGGGGAGAAAGAACTAAGCAAGGCTGGTGCTCAGGCTGCTGACTTGAGTGCTTCAGCAGGGGTAGCATCAGTCTCTGAGATGAGAGCTCCAGAGACAGGAACTAGTTTGAAGAGAAAGCTGTGGACATGTTTGTCATGCTCACAGGATATCCATGCAGTAAAATCCAATAGGCATTGATTGAGGTAAATGGGTTTGAACTTACTGAGAAATAGGGGCTGGAGACGTGGAAGGTTCCACTAAAAGCGGTCCAAGAAGAGTCTTGAGGAGTGCTCGTGGTAAGAAGTGGTTCTCAAACTTTAGTGGATGTCATTACTATCTGGTGAAAATGTGAAGATGCAGATTCCCAGGCCCACCCCTCTAGTTGCTGATTGTGTAGGTCAGGGATGGGCCCGAGGAATCTGCTTAGCCACCTGGCTTCCAGCCTTTTGCTCCCAAACACAACAGATGGAAAATTCCATCCCAGGTGAGGCAGAGGAGTTTGGCTGGGAGAGTAGGAGACCTGGAGCAAAGCTGAGAGAAGCTTTGTTTGATTTTGTTTTACTTCACCATCATTCTTACAGCCTTGTGAGGAGGAATAGGGAGGGGAAGGTTAGAGAACAGTAGACGCTTTCCTCCCTGCCACTGGTCAAAGAATGAGGTAAAACCACTGGGTGAAAGGTTGATTGAGAACAAGATATTCACGTGACTTCAACATGTCACCCACAAAGTCCATATTAATTACAAATGGAAATGATACCATTCCCTGGCGTGCTTCTGTTAGGGTACACATCATCTTTATCAAGTGATCAAGCCCTAATATCATCAATAATGGGACCAACTGGTATCATGCACCTCCTGCTACTACCCAACTTCAAGTGCATTCTGCTAAAAACTTTAACCTTAATTTAATTAAGGGGGTTGGGGGAGCGAGGATGGCAGGCTTTTCCTTAACTTGAATATAAAAGTGTATATAAGCTAACAGTTTTGCGTCAAATCTCTTGGGTATGAAAATGGCATTGATGTAGGGCAACCCCTTTGTTTCTAGCAGACACGCTGACGTATTTATCATAGATAACTGAGGCCCAGTTTTAAAAGGAACAGAAAACAGCCCTCAGTTTTAAAAGGAACAAAAAACCGCCCTAAGCACTTGTCACAGAGTTCGTGCGTGCGCAGTCCTCTTTCGGAGACTCATTTCGCGCAGCCGGAGGGTCAGATTGAGCGCCACGAGACGGAAATACGCAACCGCGGTTTCCGGTGACCGCGAAGCGTCCAGGGCAGAATGGAGGAGGTGCCTCACGGTAAGCGCGCGGAGGGGGCAGGAGAAGCTGAAAGGAGAGGAACCCTTCTAACTGCGATCTTGTCTCCGCGCAGACTGTCCAGGGGCCGACAGCGCCCAGGCAGGTCGAGGGGCCTCATGTCAGGGGTGCCCCAACCAGCGCCTCTGCGCTTCTGGAGCTGGTGCTGCCGCGGACCCGGGTGAGGAAGGGGCAAGGCTTCAGCGGGAAGTGAAAAGCGCTATTCCGGAAGAGGCGGGGCGTGGGTGGAGTTGGGGAGTAGGGGTGAGTGACAGGGTCGGGGCCCAGAGGAGGTGGGCGTGGGGACGTCTGCAGTTGAGGGGTGGGGCTTGAGGAATGAGTGACAAGAGCGGAGCCCGGAGGGGAAGAACGTGGAGAAAATTGGCGGGGTCGGGGCGGAGCCTGAATCAGTGACTGGCGTGGAGTCCTAAGGTGTCTCGGGAGGGGCGGGGCAGGGGCGAAAGTCGGCAGGGTGAGGGGTGGGGCGAAAAGTTTGAGTGACAGCAAGTGGAATTGGTCGGAAGGAGGGCGGCACCAGCCGGTATAGGGTATAAACTTTGAAGTCAGGGAGCTTGGGCCTGAATCCTAGCTCTGCCAGCTGTTTTCTTTGGACAAAATTTCCCTCCTTTTTGAGGAGCGCTTCTCCCATGAATTCATCAGAAGTATGAATTAATCACTTGCAGGCACAGTGTTCTGTGCTGTAATTGAGACAGATGAGGTCATTAAAAAGCCTTAACCTCTTTGACCCTCCATTTCCGCACCAAACTGGGGAAAAATAGTTAACAGTGTTTTAAGGATTTGAACTAGGAGGAAATACTGAAGGCATAGTATTATAAATGTGTAATAATGATGGTTATCAGTGACAGGTACTACGTGCCTGCAGTATTTGTCAGTATCTCATTCCCAGCACTCCTGACATTCAGGGCTGGATAATTCTTTGTTGTGAGTGTGTCTCTGCCCTGAACACTGTAGGACATTTAGCAGCATTCCTGGCTTCTACCCACTACATGTGGGCAGCACTCCTTCCTGTGGCAACCAAAAATATCCCAAGATACTGCCAAATGCGTCCTGGTGGGGTTTGCCCCAGGTTGGGAATCACTGCTGCATTCAGAGCTGTGTTCTGGACCTGGGAATATAGTATGAACACTGCTGAGTTTCCTGCTTCATGGACTTTATGTTCTAGTAGAGGAGACAAATGAGTAAACCAAGAAGTAAGGAACTCTCAGATGTGCTAGTAACCTTGTGGGTTTGTTGTAGGGGTTTTTTTGGATTTTTTGTAGCTCTTATTACTACCATTGGTGAGGTGCTGTTTCACTCACAATCCCTTGAAATAGTCGAGGATTTACCTCCTTCCAGCCCATCGGAAGAGTGACATTCCGAGAAAGACAAATATCATATGATATTGCTTATATGCAGACTCTAAAAGAGTGGTACAAATGAACTTATACACAAGACAGAAATAGTGTCACAGATGTAGAAAACAAACTTACAGTACTGGGGCGGGGCAGGGGGTGATAAATTGGGAGATTGAGATTGATGTATACACACTACTATATATAAAATAGGTAACTAATAAGGGCCTACTGTATAGTACAGGAAACTCTGATCAGTACTCTGTAATGACCTATATGAGAAAAGAATCTTAAAAGTAGATATATGTATAGATATAACGGACTCACTTTACAGCAGAAACTAACATTGTAAATCAACTCTACTGCAGTAAAAATTTAAAAACTAAAAGATTGAGTCAGGGGCTTGGTCACCTGACTTGCTTTCTTTGCAGCCATAGAGGAAATCAAAGAAAAAATGAAGAGTGTGAAACACAAGATCTTGGTGTTATCTGGGAAAGGCGGCGTTGGGAAAAGCACATTTAGCGCCCATCTGTCCCATGGCCTAGCGGAGGATGAAAACACGCAGGTGGGACTTCGGGGGAAACTGGGAGAGGCTCCTTCCTTTCTCAGGGCTCATGATGGCTGCAAGGGGCTGACTCTTAGCAACAGTTGAATTGGCCTCTTTGGAATTTAGATCCCTGCAGAGGGAGCAAGGAAATGCAAGGGAGCTGAGCAATGAAATGAATATTTCACTGGATTCTCTAGCCATGAACATGGATACCAGGTATACGTTTCTCCAGGCTTGCCGATTATTCATCATGTTCAGTTCAAGCTTCTTTCTCTTTATGGATCTTTATGAAACCCGCTTTCTGTCTTTTCTATCCAGGGGTCTGCCAGCAGGAGCCTATCTTCTTATGGCCTATGAACTCTGGGCGGTTTTTACGTTTATAAATGGTTGTTCTTACAGTGTTACATTAAAACCTACATATCATCCTGGATTTTGCCCAGAAAGCCTAAAACACTTTCCATGTGGCCCTTGAAGAAAACACTTGCCGACCCCTGTCCTAGGCCGTTCACTTACACCCACATACACAGAGGAGCAGGAAAATTCAGATTCCCCAGGGCTGCTCTCAGGATTTCAGCTTTAATAAAAGGTATGAGAGGGAGAGGAAGAGAAAAATTTTACCAAAATGGTCAACTGGAAATTTGCAGTTCCTGTTATATTAAAAAAAAAAAAAAGACAGGTTATTCATTGGGCCTCATAGTTTTGCTTTGATCATAGAACATGACCCCAATATTCACTTTGATTACGGTGTTATACCTGATGAAACCATGAACACTGGGGTTTTTATTTTTTTTTTAACAGAGAATGCATTCCACCTTTTTGGTTTTGCCAAAACTACGTAAATTGCCAACTGTTTTTCCGCCAGAGGACTGTTTGGGGCTTGCAGGGGGTTCGGTGTAACATAGAAACAGTTTTATTATGCTCATGTTAAAAGCCTTTCCAGACCATTTCCGTTCTTTCCACTGCCTTGGTGTGTGCCTTCTTGCATACATTGATGCATTTTTGAAAATTAGTTTTCTCTTTTTGCATTTTGAATGTTGAAATTTATTTTATTTGTATAAAGGCTAGCTTTTCATATTTGTCATATAACTGACTAATGGCCTTTCCCTTTTATTTGGCTTTCTTGTTAAGATAGTACTAGCAGGGACTGTAGAGTACTTTTAATTTAATATTGACATTTCAAAACTGCACCATATTGCCAGTTATTTTTTTAAAACTGTAAAAACTGGATAAATACCAGTACTTTGTACTTGTGTGAGATAAACCATTCTATTCCAGTATGAAATAGCATCCTAAGTACTTAATAAAATAAAGGCTAAATTTCCTCCATGAAAAAAACACCATAAAGGCAGCTCCATGGGCAGGGGGATGCAGCCCACCATTCCAGCCTGCCCTCAGTATGTGTGTACACACACACAGATACACACACAAATGCACAGTAACTCTTTGATACCTCACCGAGGACTCCAGGAATATATATTTTTATAAATATATATAAATCATTGGGTTAAAAAAGAGTTGACTTGGGGGTCAGCAGACTTTTTATATAAAGCGCCGGGTGGTAATTATTTTAGGTTTTGTAGGTTATACAGTTTCTGTAGCAACTCTCAGTTCTGCCCCTTGAACATGAGATTAGCCTGTGAACAAATGACTGTGGCTATGTTCTCATGAAACTTTGAATTTCATAATTTTCACATGTTGTGAAATAAATATGTTCTTTTGATTTTTTTTAATCCCCTACTCTAGACACATAATAGCCATTCTTAGCTGTGGTCTGTAAAAAAACAGGTGGCATTCTGGGTTTGGCTCCCGGGTTGCAGCTTGCCAGCCCCAGTTTGGTTTGTAGCCCAGCTGCGCCAGTGCCGGCTGGAGAAGAACTTTGTTGCAAGAGGACTGAAGCATTGGAGAGGCCGTGGCCTTCTGGAGACAGTGCTGAGGTGGGACTAGGGAGTCCGGAAGGCTTGGTGTTTCTCTCATTGACTGTGGCTCTGAATTCCGCTCGTAACTCATTTCTCTTCCGATCATTTTATGATGTGTCGAGCCACTCCCGTTGGCCTGCCTGACTGATGTGGGCTTCTCTGGAATCTGGTATCTGTTACCCAAGGTGTGTTCAAGGGATCTGGCGAAAGGGAGAAGGGACTGCCCGGGGCTAGCTGGGCAGCAGGTTGGAGAAGGTGTCCTCTGGACTCTGATGGCAGCTGGTGGAAGGTGGCAGGAGGAGGTATAGGCAGAGGTGCAGAGCTGGAACCGCCGGCGCAGACTGGACAGGCAGGCAGGGCAGGGCTGCCGCTGCTCCTGCAGTGGAGGAGCCGAGAGTGGGGCTGGGCCAGCCCAGGAGGCTTTAACGCTCCAGGAAGACATTCTCGTGGGAAGGAGGCATGGTCTGAGCTTTGCTGCAGGATCAGTCGAGTGTGTTGTCAGAGGGTGATGGTGAACCAGCAGGAAACGTTGGTCTTGTCTCCATGAGGGGCCACAAGGTCACAGCTAGGGCAGTGGCTGGAACCAAGGGCAGGAAATGAGAGCAAAGCTGGGGAGATGGAATAGCTGGGCGTCTAACTGCTGGAGAAGAGGGAGGGTCCGAAGGCTAGCTGAACCTGTGGGGCCGGGGAGGGCGGGGGCGAGGTCTAGCGTGGTGGCCAGGAACACAGGCTCTGGAGTCGGTCTGCCCACCGTCACCTCCCAGCACCGCCCACACCACTGCTGTAACCATGGGCAGGTTATCAGACTCTCTCTGCCTCAGTGTTCTCATCTCTAAAATGGGACTCAGTCCTGAGTGAGATGATGCATGTAACTGTAAAATGCTTAACACGACACTTGATGCATAGGAAGTGTTCAATCAGTGTCCCTGATAGTCATCATTATTTCTTCATTCCACTACCTGGAGTATGGAGGGAGTGAAGACCACCACAGGAATGAGTGCATGTGATATCTTTCCTGCATCTTTCACTCAAGGTACCCCTTCTCTTGGGGGTGGAGGGGATGTATTAATAATTCCTCAAAAGGAAATTGGTTAAACTTTTCCCAAGAGAGAGTGAGGCATTAGACCGAGAGGCTAGAGACTCGAGAGGATTGACAGAAGTCTCTCATTAGGGTTGTAGGGATGGTATAATTTCCCAGGTCCTCAGACTCAGATGTAAAATGTCTAGTCCGTTAATACACACCAGCCTGAAGCCTCAAGAACGGTCTTTAGGATGAGTTCTGTTGCATTCTTCTTGAGGTCCAGCAGAGGGTGCGTGAGGCAGACAGAGGTCCAGTGTATGAACCCCTTTCCTGACCCCGGGTGTGAGATCATGTGAGGATCACAGGGGATTGTTGAGACGATGGAAGAGGGAAGCAAGAAACGAATTGGGGGCAAGTTAAAAAGTTACCCAGAGGTGCTGCACTTTGGATCTAAGACATAAGAGCTTTCAAGATGAATAGCTCTGCTCTTTAAAGAGTTTCTTAGAGCTGTCTCAGACCTTTTCATGTATCACATGGGGAAAGCAGGGCATTTGGGGTGGAAAGAGTCCTCCTGGGCTGGACATGTCACTAGCAAAGAACTTTTGTGTGTTTCCTTATTCTTACTTTCTCCTTTAGAAGTTGAACCTACGCCACTGTTAACCTCCAGCATCACAGGAAAACAGGGCTTGCTCAGAACTCAGCTGGAGGGGCCACTCTGGCCCCCCTCGCCAGGCCCCGGGAGCCATGGGAAGAACCTTGGTGTTGGAGTCCAGAGACCTTGCTTTAAGCCCCGGCTCGCTTCCTTGCTCATTGAACAAGTCTGTGGGCATCTCTGGACCACAGTTTCTCCTTCGGTAAAGCAGAGTTACAATGATCACACACACACACCCCACCTTCCCAGATTGAACCGCAGTTTCTTCTTTGGTAAAGCAGTTATAATGATCACACACACACCACCCCTACCCCCAGGATGTGGTAAGGACCAGGTAAACAGTGGCTGGACCTGAATCTGTGAACAACCTGATACCCTGGTTCATAAACTCACCTTGAAAATAGGCTGTATTGAGGGTGGCTGGGGTTGTGGGGAGCATGGGGGTGTTGATGTACTTTGCAGTTGTTAGGAGTCTTGACTGTGTCTCCAAGGCCCGGAAGGGAATGTTGTAACTCTGAGATTCCACTCAGTTCACGTTTGACCCGGTTTCTCTGTGTCTCCTCCCTTCCCTCCTTTTCCTCGAACCCTGTCCCCTCCCGATCATGCATACCCGGAGGATTGGACCTGCGTTGCATCACTGCCTTGGTCTCTTCTTGTTCCCCAGGTTGCTCTTCTAGACATCGATATATGTGGGCCGTCAATTCCCAAGATCATGGGATTGGAAGGAGAACAGGTAAGAGCGACATTAAAAAAAACGCTGGGAAATATTTTCTTAAAATGAACCTGAGCCTCGAGCTGAGCGCCCTAAGCCACAGGGTCAGTGGAGCGCATGCGTTTTTACCTGGATGTGACCACATCAGGGAGGGTTCAGTCAACGGTCTACTTTTAACAACAGCCATGAGTTTGGGGGTGTGTTGGGGGGGGGCGACCCATCTATGAGTTCATCCAAGTTCATCCGTCTGAGAAGTGTTCGTTTTGATGCCGTCTTAGAGGGGAAGGAAAAGAGCAAGTCAAATGCAGAAGTCAGACACGAAAACTTGGTCCTGGCTGGGAAAGCTTGAGTAGGGCTGGCAAGGGCTCTGTAGGCTGGAATCAAGGGAATGTTTCTGCCCCTGTGGTCACTGGGGAAGTGAGGGGAAGTGAGACTGTGAGGCGGGCGGATGACGCGGGGTTGGGCGGTAAGGGCAGCCGAGCTAGGTGCCGCTGCCCCCCTACACCCTGGTGTGCAGAGCCGGGTGCATTTTGAAACCAGCCTGGAGGACCAGCCTTGTCCGGGTCTGTTGGGATGGGTTTGGTCTTTACTGAAGCACTGGGTGCTGCGGTTCAGAGGTGAACAAGGCAGATAAAGACCCTGCCCTCATGGGAAGGACGGGTGACAATAGGAATCTCAGTGAAGCAAGGGGATGGGACAGATGGCAGTGAAAGGGGTCCGGGGAGCCTCTCTCCAGGAGGAGGTGGTCAAGGGCACCCTGCTCAGAGAGCCCAGAGGAAAGCATGCTGGGCTGGAGGGGTGTCCTCAGCCCAGTAGCCTATGGGGCCAGGCAGAGTGGCCCGCAGGGTGGCAGAGAGTAGCCCAGGTGGACGGGGCCAGCCCCTGGGGACTCTGCTCAGGGCTTGGCACTTGCTTCCCACGTGCTGAGAGGCGCCAATGCTATGCGGGGTCAGAGCGGAGCAGCGGGACCATGGCTCGACTGCATAGCCGCGGGCAGCAGGCTCCGGAGCGAGGGTCTCCCTTCATCATCAGTCACACGCACGTACTACTCACTGAGCCGGCGTGCAAGTCGTTTATAAAAACTGAACTTTGTAAATGGTGACAAATTCCACTCTTTTCTTCTCCTACGCTGTTGGATCATCGGGTTTACCCCCCCTTTCAAGACCAGTGACTGAGAGAATGAGCATTAATAGGAATTAATGGGTTTGTTTTTTTTTGAAATGTGACTTCAAAGCCAGTGACAAGGAGTTACATATTACCTGAATTGCGTTTCTGTCAAATGTTGGGGACAGGCACCTTTGTAGACACAGTAGATCCATGGTCACCTAGGAGTTGGGGGAAGCGTGGGGGTTGGGGGTGACACTTGAGGGTTGCAGGGTATCTTCTTAGAATAACCAGAATGTTCTAACATTGATTGTGGTGATGGATGTGCAATTCTGTGACTATCGTGAAGCCATTTAAGTGTACACTTTAACTGGGTGGGCTGTGTGGTATGTGAGTTATATCTGAGTCGACTGTTTAAAAAGGTCATCAGGAGAAATGGGCTTTCTCTTTTGGCTCCAATGTTGCCTGAAGCGTAAATTCTAAGACTGATGTGCGGTTAGAAATTGCGTAAGTTCCAGTTTCATAGAAAAGCGTCGGAGTGGACTTCAACCCTGGCAGTTTGTTGTTGCTTAGTTGCTAAGTCGTGTCCAGCTGTTTTTTGACCCCAGTGACTAAAACCTGTCAGGTTTCTCTGTCCATAGGATTTTCCAGGCAAGAATACTTGTTGTCATTTTCTTCTCCAGGGGATCTCCCCAACCCAGGGAAGGAACCCGAGTCTCTTGCCTTGGCAGGCGGATTCTTTATCCCTGAGCCACCAGGGAAGCCCTCACCCTGGCGGTTAGTGAACACCTAACTGGAAAGGGTCTGGGTCTTTCAATAGCCCCAGCTTCCCGCCAACACCCCTTTTCCCAGGCCTTGTCCCTTGGGGCAGCAGCTCAGGCCACCAGCGGGAAGGTTCCGTGTCCACTGCCTCACTCAGGGTCATCCCTCCACTCCTTACGGAGGCCGCCTCGCTGTTCCACGGTTACCTGCATCTTCACAGCAGCCCCCAACCGATTTCTGTCACACTTTTAAAATCCCCCAGACTGTACTGGACTCTGATGAACATTGGTTCCCTGACCAGATATTTAAGCAGAGTTTCCAGATTGCCCAACCTGGGAGGGGAGAGCGTATGCACTCTATCATCTATATCTTGGCTTCCCAGGTGGTGCTAGTGGTAAAGAACTTGCTTGCCGATGCAGGAGACATGAGACAGAGGTTTGATCCTTGGGTCGGGAAGATCCCTTGGAGGAGGGCACAGCAACCCACCCACTCCAGTGTTCTTGCCTGGAAAATCCCATGGACAGAGGAGCTTGGTGGGCTACAGTCCATAGGGTCGCAAAGAGTCGGACATGCCTGAAGCAACTGGGCACGCACCTGTATCACCTAGCCCCGACCCCCTGATGTTCACTCCCTGTTAAGAATTCAGTGGCAGCCTTTAAGACGATGAATCGTTATTTATGAAGCTGTCCTCCTACTGCATAAACTTGGCGTGTAAAGTGTGATCAGGGCGTGTAGTTTCTCACAAGTGAGACAGGCTCCTGTTCCCACAGGTTCACCAGAGCGGCTCGGGCTGGTCTCCAGTGGTGAGTATCCACCCCAGGCCTTCCCTTCGGGGTGGCGTGTACATGGCGGATAGTGGTGGGCAGTCACTTGGTGACTGTTTATCAGTCAACAGGTAGTCAATGAGGCACTTTCCTGGGCCTGGGGGATCCAGTTACGACCAGAGATTGGCTCAGAGAGTAGCTCTTTCCACTCTGTGGGCCAAACAGTTGCCCCCGTCATAGATGGAACGTAGTGATATGCAAATGAATGACCGTGGCCCTTTTCCAATAAAACTTTATGTAGGAAACCAGAAGCGGGGCCAGCCAGATTAAAACAGCAGGTTTGTTGTTGTTTTGTCACTCCATCATGTCCAGCTCTTTGCGACCTCATGGACTGTAGCACACCAGGCTTCCCTGTCCTTCACTGCCTCCCAAAGTTTGGTCAAGCTCATGTCCACTGAGTCCATGATGCGTCCAACCATCTCATCCTCTGTCGCCTCCTTCAGAGGAGACGGTATTTGTTCATTTCAGCAGAGGTCATTGCCACCTGGGACCATACGGTGGCCCTTTCAATCCCCCCAAATATGGCAACCCTTTTTTTTTAATGAATTTTTTTTTTTGGTGGGGGAGAAATTTAAGGATTCAAAAAGTGAATACATACTCACATCATATAGCAACTTTGCCCCCTCAATTGCTGCTGCCAGCACTCAGACACAAGACAGAGGGAAGTGCCTGGCACTGTGGTTTGAAGTAAAATGTCTCTTGCATCATCCTTTCCAGTTCCTGGAAGACAACTTGGGGGTGATGTCGGTGGGTTTCTTGCTCAGCAGCCCCGACGATGCCGTCATCTGGAGGGGACCAAAGAAAAACGGTTTGTCACTCCACTTTTTCTCTCTTGTCACATCCTTCCAGGGGCAGAAGCAGATCCCATCCCATCAGGACGGCCTGTGTCTCTGGTGGCCTCTTTCTTCACTGGTTTAAGAGAGCCCAAAGAAATTCCAGTTTTACTTAATAAATACAACATTACAGATTTCCATATCTCTGATGGGTTTTGCTCTCCTGAAAACCCATCTAATCCTGAAATGATCCTTCCGGTGGTTTGTGCTCTTGTTTGTGACAGAGGAGGGTGAGGGGTGAAGTCAGTACCAGTTTGACAGGGTGTCCAGGCTGCAGGTACGGAAGTGCCAACCTGGGCAAGGCTCCTCAACCTCGGTGCTCTGATGTTCCGAGCCAGACAGTCCCTTGTTGGGGAGGTTGGGGGTGGACGGTCCTCTGCATCACAGGGTGTTGGCAGTTCCCTGGCCGCGCCACCCTGGAGGCGAGTAGAAGACCCCCCCTAGTTATGGACAAGCCCACAGGCACTGCCAGACCCCGCCGATGGAGCGCATACCTGAGCTGTGCGAAGGGTCAGGAGCTGTGCTTTTGTAGGGTCAGAGGACAGGAGACAGCGTGCATCACCGCGGCCTCCCCCGCAGGCATGATCAAGCAGTTCCTCCGCGACGTGGACTGGGGCGAGGTGGACTACCTCATCGTGGACACCCCGCCCGGAACGTCGGACGAACATCTCTCGGTGGTGCAGTACCTGGCCGCGGCGCACATCGACGGGGCGGTGATCATCACCACGCCCCAGGTGAGCGAGGGCTGGGTGCAGCGGGGTCCACACTGCACTGCACCGGGGGGGTCTCTTTCTCCCACAGCCCGAGACCCACACCCTGGCTGGGATCCACAGAAACCTTATGTTTATCTTCAGTTCAGCCATTGTCAGTGGACAGGGAGGCATGAGGTGGCTGGGGTGGTGGGTGGCTCGAGCAGGGGTGGAAGGGGGCCTGGCCTGAGGATGGCGGTGGAGAGAAGATGGATGCTTCATTAGAAATGTTTCCTGATGGATATTTAACAGAGCTGGGCGACCAGCAGTGCGCTCTTAGACCCTTAGACCAGCCATGCTCTCGAGAGCAAGTCCCAAAGAAGTGACCTTCAAGGACAGTGGAGTTGGGACGTCCACCCCAATGGCGGGTGCTGACAGCGAGCAAGGCTTCCCATGTGGGGCAGGGACACGTGGGGACTCTGCTTTCTGTGAGCCTAAAACCACTGTAAAAATGGTCAAAAGCAACAGCAGCAATCAAGCTGATGCAAGAGTGGCTTCTCCAATACCATATTTACTGTGAAAGGAAACAGTCCCCTTAGGTCCAGGAGGAGGGGAGCAGCCGTTCCCCAGGAAGCCGGCGAGGACATCCTGTGTTTGCCCTGTGTGCGTCACTTCTCTAGAAAACAGGACTTCAGGCTGGGCACACCCACTTCCTCGGAGCCTTGCACATGGGCGTCATTTTTGAGAAAGCAGGGCTTTGAGAGGACACTCGGGAGAGAGCCAGAGGCACCCTAAAGAGATGCTTAGTACCAGCAGGTTTACTTTCTAGCCAAGCCCTTTTGTCTGCACCCCAGCCTCCAAGGGCTCCAGGGACAAACGTGGGCCTCAGGAGAATAGCCTCAAAGCCCAGGTCCACAGGGGCCCATGACCATTAAAGCCGTACTTGACAGCACACAGCACTTGGACATGTGTCTGCGATAAAGGTGGATTGAGAGGGTACTAAGCTCTTGATTACCCATGCTTCTCACACAGAGTCCAGAAGTGAATTGGCAGGGCTCCAAACCGGGTAATATTCCTTATTTTCTTTTGGGCCATAAAGTTGTGGTCATGATAACCAAGGTCAGAGGTCGGCAAACTTTTTCTGGTAAGGGCCAGAGAGGAACTATTTGAGGCTTGGCAGGTCACAGGGTCTCTGTCCCAGCCCCCCAGGGGCACCATTATGGGATGAAAGTGGCCAGAGGTAACGTGCGGGTCAGACTGTGCTCCAGAAGAACTCGATCTATGAAAACAGACAGCCAGGTGAGCGTGCAGGCTGCCCCCGCCCCCGCCTAAAACAGGGCTCACACGTGGTTGCATGAAAAACTCACAGAACGGTTGTTGTTCAGTCGCTAAGTCGTGTCTGACTCTCTGCAACTCTGCACTGGCAGGCAGGTTCTTTACCGTTGAGCCGCCAGGGAAACCCTTAGGTACAGAGTCTCTAAAGCTTCACGGCTGTGACGCCACGGCCCTGCAGCTGTCCCTCCACCACACGATAGTTCCCTGTCTGTGCCCAGAGTCTGAAATAACCAGTCTTCTGGAACCTTAACAGGAAGTGTCACTCCAGGATGTCCGGAAAGAGATCAGCTTCTGCCACAAGGTGAAGCTGCCCATCATCGGGGTGGTGGAGAACATGAGCGGCTTCATCTGCCCCAAATGCCAGGTGAGGGCACGTTCCCCTCAAGGTCCTGGCCTCCACACTTGGGGAAATGGTGGGGTCGGGTGCCTGGGAAACTGTTTCTGCTTTCCGCATCATTTGGGAACTGGAATCATAGTTTTAAAAAAAAAAACCCTCTGTTGCCAATTTAATGGAAATTCTTTTCATGTTCAGAAGAGCCTTTTTTTTTTTTTAGTTTCTTTAAAATGTGGTCCGTTCGTATGATTCCAACACAAACTCGAGATTCCTCCCCCGTTCATATTGCCTTTCAGAAAGAGTCCCAGATATTCCCACCGACAACGGGGGGTGCGGAGGCCATGTGCCAGGACCTGAAGATCCCGCTGCTTGGCAAAGTGCCACTGGATCCACGCATAGGTGGGTGTATCCCTCCCGCATGGGGCCCGTGTGCCCCCCAGCTGAGAGCAGCAGGGAAATATGCAGGGGTGTGGTGAGGGAGCAGGAGGGCCTTGGGGAGGTGGGAAGGGCCTGCAAGAGTGGAGGAGAGACTGGTCAGGGAGGCATCTGGTGCGGGGGGGCGGCAGGACAGGAGGTCACCAAGGAGAGGGGCCAGGCGGGGGTGACCAGGGGAAGGAGGCGAGGGCATGTATTCGAGTCCTGTCTCACACAGGAAGTAGGTCCTGGCGTGAAAGTCATCGACAGAATCAGTCTTGAGAACCCTGAGGAAGGGCCCCCCCTTGCCCTATCTACAGGGAAGCCCAGCACAGCCCTCCTGATGCCTGGATGGCTGAGCAGGAAGGCATATTGCTGGCCTGCCTTTAGGGGTCACGCTCCTCTCTGGGTACCAGAGTCCTCAGGCCCCCACCTCCACACCACAGTCACTCCGGGGCATCAGCTTGCTGCGTGGAGCAGGGGGACAGCCACCCCCTTTCAGTGACACCCACCACCGAATTTCTTTCCCCACCGTAACAGAGTCGGGCTTGCTGAAGTTAGATGTGTCTATGATGAGAAAGTGGGGCAGTAAGGTTTCGCAGACGAGGCCTAAGGGGCCAAGGGAGACTCGCGGGGGCTCGGAGCCCAGGTGTGGACGGCTCTGCAGCTGAGCCTTGTGGTTTGGACCCCAGTTGTCAGGAAATGAGACCAGGGAGGGTGGGTGCTGTGTGTGCTTAGAGGCTGAGGCTGTGGGCCACGGCACTGGTTGGGAGGAGGTTAGGGCCGGACTGAGCCGGGCATCACCGTGGAGAGGAAGAGACACAGAGAGGGGAAGCGACAGGCTGGGACAGGTGGGGAGAAGGCAGTGTCCCCGAAGTCCATGCTGCCCAGCGTGACCCCCTGGGGAGCTGGGGCTGCCCCCCAGGACCAGCGAGCACGGGAGAGCCGGCTCCCTGCTGACACTGTGTGGAGCGGGCAGGGCCTTAGCTTGTCAGCTGGTGAGAGGTCGAGAGCAGAGGGGGCCGTGTCCACGATGGGGGGACGGCATAGAGGGGGCCGAGAGCACAGTGTGGAGGAGGCCTGCCCCGAGGAGGGGGGCTGAAGACCCCAGAGCGCCTGGGCGCCCAGCAGGGTGGCTCCCGGAGCCCCTTCAATGGTACCCACCTCCAGAAGCACTTGTACCGGGTTCCCCGCCAGGAAACAACTCTGGCTGCTTTTCCATCCTTCCCAAGTGTCGTCTTCGCATTGACCAGCGTGTCCCTTGGGGTCGTAGGAGCAGGGACCGCCTCTCAAAGTCCCTGGAGGCAGGCTGGCCGTGCGAGCGTGTGGGGCCGGGTGGGCAGCGGGCCCGAGTGGTCACTCCTGCTAGCTGCAGGCTGCGGCAGCCTCAGTCCTCAGAGCTCCTGGTAGGAGAGGCGGCCGGATGGCGGCCTCGGGGCTCAGTCCTGAGCTGAGAGGACGCAGTGCCATCCAGTGGGCACGCTCCCGTGTGACGGGGCACCTCCCCAGACCTCACCTCCAGTTGAAACCGCAGAGCCGGAGGCAGCGAGTGTGGGAAAGGACGGGGGTGAACACCGCCACGGGCTGCGGTGAGGCAGACAGGGCCAGGGAGGCCGCCGAGGCCCCCAGAGCTGCTTTGTGCAGTGAGGGAGCCGCCCCGTCACCGGGGAGACAGGAGGACGTGCACAGCCCCTGTGCGAACACGCAGCGAGGGAGCTGCCAGGCTTTGGCGTTGGGATCCCAGCTTCCCGGCCACTCGCCCCAGTCCTGGACCACCCCCACCGCCCCCGTCGCCCCTCCGCTGGCTCTGGGCTTGGGCGGGTCCTTGCCGGGCTCCGAGCCTCAGGCTCGCCTGATAGGTGGGGATGTGATGGAGCCACCGTGGGGACTGGACGGCATAGGCGAGGGGGGTGGTCTCGGACAGGACAGGGCCCAGGAGAGGGGAGGTTTGTGGTGGTGGGCAGCTGACCAGAGCAAGTTGTGAGGGTTCGGGCAGGTCTCCTGGGGAAGGGAGGATGCGGAGCAAGAGGATGGCGGGTGAACATCAGGAGGAAGCGGCCCCATGAGCCTGTTGTGGGACCAGTGACCTCCCAGGCCTGGTCCTGCGGCCAGGAACTCGGAGGCTTCCCTAGCTCTTCTATACACAGTGCCCAGGCCATGTGGGGCCCCACTCCACACCCCTAAACTCCCAGGTGTCCCTGTCCCACCCAGCAACGCGCTGGGGGGATGATTGCTCCACAGTTGGCCTGGCCAGGGTCCCCCCAGAGGCTGGGGAGCAGCTGTGGGTTGTGGGACCACTGATCCTGCTTCTCCAGCAGGAGCGGGGGGCAGGGGGCGGGGGCAGGGTCTACTCAGGACCAGACAGGAGAGGAGCTCCCCCCGGCCCAGGCCCCGCCCCATGCCCACCTGGATGGGTTGATGCCAATGTGGAGTGACCCTCAAGGTACAGTTCCACAGGGAGAAAACAACGGGCGGAATGTGTGTATGCTCCCAAGCTTTTTTAAAAAAATACTTGAGTGTGTATATGCATATGTCACACTTACATGTATATATTATTTCTAGAAAGGCAGCTGACACCCCAGTAGCTTCCCTTGAACTCAGTTCCTCACGGTGTAACCTTCCGTCCTCCCTACCCTTTCACTCTGAGCCTTCATTATCTTACTGGAGAATGAATCGATCTTTTCTAAATGCAGGTTCCCGGGCCCACCCAGGAGCTGCTAAACCTGTTCTTCCTGGGGCCCTGGAACCTGCATTTGCCACACTCCACCCAGAGGGTTCTCAGGCACACATATACACACTAAGCAGCATTGCCCAGGCACGGGTCAGAGCCATGAGGCAACACCAGCCAGACTCGCTGCTGGGTGGAGGGGAGGCAGGTGAGGTCCCAGAGACCCCGACGTTCTGTCTCAGCTTTGATCTTCACTATGAGGGAGGTGGGCCTGAGATCTCCCATGTCACCGGCACAGAAGGAGCCCCAAGTTCAGGTCACCACTGTGTTTTCTTCATGGGTTTTAATTTCCCTTGCTTTGTTTCTTTAAGGTAAGAGCTGCGACAAAGGACAGTCTTTTTTGGTGGAAGCGCCAGATTCACCCGCCACTGTCGCCTACAGAAGTATAATTCAGAGTAAGTGCTTAAGGGGACCTGTGAATCCAGAGGGCCATAGGGCCAGGAAGTGATGCATGTGAGCAGAGTGGGCTTGGGAGTGAGAAGATCCTATTCGGTGTCCTGAATGGCCATGCAGCCTCCACGGGGACATGGGGGTGGTGGGGTCTGGGATGACCCCCTCAGCCCAGGAAACCAGGAGTCTGGGAAAATCTTCCAGTCCACCAACATTGTGAACTAAGTCATAGCTTAAAAACACAGTGAGGGTGAAGTTTACAGTATAGGAAATATTAATATTACACCTCAGTAAAACTGTAAAAAGAATTTAAGAAGGGGAAAAAAATAAAAGCAAAGTGAGCCAAACCAGACCCAGGTGCAGGCCTGATTCAGTCAACGGGCAGCTGTCAGAGACCTTGAAGTTGAGGCAGATGTGTCAGTAGTTTAAGCTCCAGGCTGCTGGCTTGTGGCTGAGCCCTGCTGGCCTAGTGAAATGGTGTCCAGGGTCAACAACATTATTTCCGGGATCCTCGATCTGTAGAATGGGCCGACAGGAGTCCTCCAGCCGTGGTTGTAGCCACTGATGGGCAGCCAGCAGTACTGGGCTCACTTGCAGAGATTCAGGGCATCGGCTGAGATGGGACTCTGGGGTGAATTAAGCCACCCGGGGACTCCACCCCATTTAGACGCGGCCTTGCCAGCCTAGGGCAGGGCCACCGAGAGCCACCAGTGTTTCTGCGCCTGCCGTCCTGTTTTCCAGGAATCCAGGAGTTCTGTAGTCAGCGTCTGCCAGAAGGAGAGAACCCCGTCGGCTCCTGAGACAGGAGGCCGTGAAGAACGGCAGCAGCGCGAGCCGTCCGTCACGCCTGGCCGGCGTGGGGACAGAGCGGGTCACAGGCAGAGAGGGACCAGCCCCGGGCATGGCGTGAAGCCACTTTTTCAGAGACACTTTAATCATCTAGCATTCGTACACTTTCCTTTAGAACGTATGTAAAGGGCGTTCTTTACAGATGTGCCACTTGAAAAATAAAAACAGCTCCTCAAACCTCTGCCCCGAGGCCTGCTTCTCCTGAAAACCCAGCAGCTCGTGGATCATGAAATTCTCTTCTGTCGGAAGCTGTCCTACAGAACCTCTCACTTGTGCCTTTGCCGCCTTGGAAAATAAGCCTGAAAAAGAGCCAAAGGAATAGAGGGGGGCACGTGTGGCTTCGCTGCAGCCTCGTTCTTGTGGTTTAGTCACTAAGTCGTGTCCGAGTCTTTGCAACCCCACATACTGTAACCGCCAGGCTCCTCTGTCCATGGGATTCTCCAGGCAAGAATACTGGAGTGGGTTGCCATTTCCTATTCCAGGCAATCTTCCCAACCCAGGGGTCAAACCCGAGTCTCCTGCATTGGCTGGCGGATTCTTTACCACTGAGAGCATGGTGCAAACACTGTTCTCCGATGGAGGAAAAATTCAAATAGTGACAGAGCCTCCCACTGGGGCTTGGGCCAAAGTCAGTGCACAGGATGCGGCCAGGCATAGTCAGAAACCTGCAAATCACCCACATGAACAGAATTGGGGGTCAGTGCAGACACTCCATACAGGAATTATGTGTTTACTCTATCTGGCGGGGGCTCCCCTGGTGGCTCAGCTGGTAAAGAATCCACCTGCAATGCAGGAGACCCAGGTTTGAGCCCTGGGTTGGGAAGATCCCTGGAGGAAGGCATGGCAACCCACTCCAGTATTCTTGCCTGGAGAATCCCATGGACAGAGGAGCCTGGCGGGCTACAGTCCATGGGGTCACAAAGAGTCGAACACAACTGACTAAGCACAGCACACATATCTGGCAGTTTTCAGTGCCAGACACGACAATTTACAGGGTTTTTAAAGTTGCATGAAAGGAGAGATGCAAAGTGTAAGAGAGCCTTATTGCCATGAGATGCTCAGTGTGTTTGAAAGACTGACAGGAACTGAGACCAGCTCAGGGAAGGGGAAATTCCCGTTTCCCCTCTGATTCCCGGCACGGAAGTGGAAGGGGCACACGTCCCCCCGTTTTGCCACGCCTCTCGGCACCTGCCCCCTCGCCTGCCCAGGGTCAAATCTGTACCTGTTCAAGGTAAGGAAAGTGGGACCCCTCTAAAGGGCCGTGAGGCCACACACAGCCCAGGAAGGCCCAGCACACAGCTTGGTCCCCCCCCAATCCCCGCCCCCACCCGCTGTGCACACAGGCCGCTCGGGCCCCCTGGGGCGCCCACCCAGATCACAAGCCCAGCTGAGCCCAGGGGAGCCATGCTTCCATGAGAACCCCTAGCCCCGCACCGTCCAGGTCACCATCTCGACCCCACCGCTTACCTAATGCTTGCGAATCTCCAGCCCCTCGAGGCCAGGCTTCTGAAAGTCGCTAGGACAGGCCTGCAAGAGGAAGAGACGGCCCTGGCTTTCTGTCCCACATGTGCGTGGCCTGACTGTCAAACAAGGCCAGGGCAAGTCCACGGTGAACCGAAAGCCTGCAGGGCTGCTTGCTCAAGGTCTTGGCTTAAAGCTTAAGTGCACTGTTCACACTTAAGATAGCTAAAACCATTTCAGGAAGAGCCTGGTCACATTTAGAAGATCTGTTGTTGCTTCTAGAACTCAGGCTAGGTTTGAAAAAATTGTTACAGCTCTTAATTCTATTGTTGTTGTTGTGGTTTAGTCGCTAAGTCATGTTCGACTCTTTGCAACCCCATGGACTGTAGCCCACTAGGCTCCTCTGTCCGTGGGATTTCCCAGACAAGAATACTGGGGGTTGCCATTCCCTTCTCCAGAGGATCCCAACCCAGGGATCGAACCCAGGTCTCCTCCATTGCAAGCAAACTCTTCACTGTCTTGAGTCACCAAAGAAGCCCTCCATAGTTTAAAGAAATCACTCAAAACCAACAATGGCAATCACAAAAGGACAAGCGCTGTGTGATTCCACTTACGTGAGGTCCCTAGATTAGTCAGATTCATGTGGGTAGAAAGTAAGTGGTTGGCTGGAGTTTACTGGGGTTGGGGAGGGTGGAGAATGAGTTAAATGTTTAGTGGGTACAGAGTTTTCTTGGGTGAGAGTTGTGGCAGCATGATGATGTGCGTATACTGAACCATACACTTAAAAATGGCTAAAAGGGTAAAATTCTGTTGTGCGTATTTTAACCACGAACACAAAACCCCAGCTAACACTGGCAGCCTGGCTGATACAGAAAAACATCATAAACTGCCACTGCCAGCAGGCCTCCGGGACTTTCAAGTGTCTGGAGATCAGGGGTCCAGGAGTAGGACTTGAGTAACTCACCGTCTGGAACACCGTCTGGGACAGAAAACTGGCTGTGACTTTGCTGATGTCGCTCTCGCCTCCCATCTTACACAGGACGTAGCCATACAGGTTGGCGGCTTGGAGAGAGATCCCAGCTATCACTAGGGCCTGCATTCAAACGAAGCAGAGGTCATTCTGAGAGCACAGATTGAAATGGTCCTCCCAAACCAAGCAGGAGTGGCTCTGGCCCACACCCACTAGTGTTAGCCAGCCTTTATGGAGAGCTTCCCTGGTGGTTCAGATGGTAAAGACTCTGCCTGAAATGCAGGAGACCTGGGTTTGATCCTGGGGTCAGGAAGATCCCCTGGAGAAGGGAATGGCAACCCACTCCAATATTCTTGCCTGGAGAATCCCATGGGCAGAGGAGCCCAGTGGGCTACAGTCCATGGGGTTGCAAAGAGTCAGACATGACTGAGCGACTAACATAATCATAATAATACAGATACTCAAGGACACCTTTTAAACACCAGAAACCGGAGAGGCTGGGGCCACTATCGTCCCACTTTACAGGGAGGACATGGAAGTCCAGGGAAGCTCAAGTTGCCTGAAGTCCCAGAGCTGGAATGAGACTGAGCCAGGACCCAGACTCCAGAGCCCACACTCAGTTATGCTGTGGCTCATACCGTCTATGGATATTTTGTCTCCTTGTGGAATGACCTAGGTCATGGCAAAGCAGTGTTATAACTCAGAAATAAAACTCCAGAATCCTGAGGCTGGCTTATTCCTACTGAGGCAAATTTCCTACCTATCCAAGCTAGGATGTCATCCACTTTTTCTAGAAATACCTCTCAGCAGCATTATTCATATGGACCAGAAGGTGGAAACCACCAAATGTCCATCAGTGGATGAACAGATAAACAAAACGTGGTCCGTCCAGATTAGGTAACAGTATTCAGTCATAAAAAGGAAAGCGATACTGATACCTGCTACAACTAGGATAAATCCAGAAAACATTGTTAAGTCAAAGAACCGAGTCACACAAGACCATGTATTGTATGATTCTTTTATAGAAAATGTCCAGAGAGCCAAATCTATAGAAACATAAATTCGTGAGTGGCAGGGGGCTGGGATGGAGGGGGGCGGGGAACAGGGGCGGTGTGGGGTTTCCCTGGTAACTCAGCTGGTAAAGAATCTGCCTGCAATGCAGGAGACCCTGATTCGATTCCTGGGTTGGGAAGATCCTCTGGAGAAGGGAACGGCTACCCACTCCAGTATTCTTGCCTGGAGAATTCCATGGACAGAGGAGCCTGGCAGGCTACAGTCCATGGGATCATGAAGAGTTGGTCATGATTGAGTGACTAACACTTTCACAAACCGGGGCTAGGGGAACAGAGGCACGGGGAGGGGCATGGCTAAAGGGCTCAGGATCTCCTGGGGTGATAAAAATTTCCTAAAACTGACTGTGGTGCTGGCTGCACAACCCTGAAACAGACTTGCTGTTGTTCAGTTGCTCAATCATGTCCAACTCTTTGCGACCCCACTATACTGCCCATGGGGTCGCAAAGAATCGGACACAACAGAGCGACTTTTGCTTTCTCACTGACTGTAGCCCTCGAGGCTTCTCTGTCCATGGGATTCCCCAGGCTAGAATACTGGAGTGGGTTGCCCTTTCCTCCTCCAGGGGATCTTCCTGACCCAAGGATCGAACCTGTCTCCTGCTTGGCAGGTGGATTCTTTACCACTGAGCCACCTGGGAAGCTCCTGAATCATACACACAAAATGGGTGCACTACCTGGTATGTGAATTCTTTCTCAATAAAGCTGTTTCGATCCATCGATCGCTCAATCAAGAACAAAAACCCACTTCTGCAACCACCGGTTCTGCACAGACATCCGAGCGAGTGTTGCCTTACCAGCCACTTGAGCTTCAAGGAAAATAAGGAGCTAAAAAAGAACACGATCCAAATCATGGGACAGACGATGAGGCCGAGCCAGAAGACCCGTGCTTCCGCCTCTGTGGCAGCCACCGTGTCTGGAGAGACCTGCAGCAGAAAGAGATTCGGATGCACAACTCACAGAAACGGTCCCAAAGGAGCGTGCTCTGATTTTCGTTAATGTCACACGTGCTTCTGCCAGTGAGGGCTCTGAACGGGCACCAGCCGCCATGGGCCTTGTGTCCGGGAGGGATCAGATCATGCAGAGCTCAGAAGGAACCCAGAGGGACTTTCCACGGCCGTTTCCTCGGCTCTAGCTTGACAAGTACTGGAAGATACCTTTCTGGCTTCAAAAATCCAGTGGCTTTTCCCATCTTCATCAATCTGGTTCCACCAGCGAAGGCCCACCATGAGTCGTCCGGTTACATTCTGAGAAAAGTAGACAGAATGCTCGTAAGCAGATCACAGGTCAAGAAAGAGGCCTCATCTTTTCCTGGATGAATAAAAGTGACCCATTCATGTCAAACCTGAGGAGAGGGGGACTGAAGAGTGGGGCTTTCTCGAAATCAGTTTTGAGGTCTGTAATTCTTAACTAAGCTTACCTTAAAAAGCAGCCTACCTGTCCATCAGCACAGGATGGGTAAGGAAGATGTGCTACATATATAAAAAGGCATATTACTCAGCCATGAAAAGGAATGAAATAATGCCATGAGCAACATGGATGGGCCTAGAGATTCTCGCAGTGAGTGAACTAAGTCAGACAGAGGACAGATATGATGTGGCTTATATGTGGAATCTAAAAAATGATGCAAATGAACTTATTGACAAAACAGAGTTCTAGATACAGAAAATAATCTTATGGTTACTTGGGGGGCAAAGTGGGGGAGTGATAAATTAGGAGATTGGGATTGACATATACATACTACTATATGTAAAATACATATATTTTATCCCTTCTCCAGCATATTTTCCTGACTTAGGAATGGAACCAGGATCTCCTGCATTGTAGGCATATTCTTTACCAACTGAACTATAGAGGAACCCATATATAAAATAGATCACTAATAAGTACCTACAGTGTAGCTCAGGGAACTTTACTCAATATTCTGACATGACCTACATGGGAAACGAATCTAACAAGAGGAGATGTATGCATAACTAATTCACTTTGCTGTATGCTGGAAACACAACATTGTAAATCAACTATATCCAATAAAAACTTTTTAAAATTAAGTTCTATTCACAAAAAAAGACAGACTCCCCAAACATACATACACACGTATATACATATATGTATTCCTATTTATAGAATTTTAAAATACATTATTTATAATATGATATATGAAATTTACAAAAAACCCAAAACACTGGAGTTGTCTCCCTCACATAGTACGTGTCTGCAAGCATGACAGTGGCCACCCAGAAGCCATTTAGTTCAACTATGCAATGTACTTTTTTCCTCTGATTTTAAGTGATGTTGGCTTAGTATTCTTAAGTCCACATAAGGGTCAGTGAGTGGCTAGAAACGCAGCCCCGTGTTTCGGGAGAGAGGGAGTCACAGGTTGCGGGGAGCCGGGGCTTACCTTCACAGACCAGAAGTCAAAGGACAGGAGGAGAAGCACAGTGACAAAACAGCCCACGAAGCTCTTGCTGAACCAGTCACAGCCCACGTAGGTGATGATGGCACTCACGCGAAAAAACAGGTGGAAAAATGTGGCCACTGGATGCCTAGGAAAGAACCCAGAAGCCCGCTCAGACCAGGGCCCCAAGGACAGTGGCCAAACGTGCTCTGTGGTTTCCACGACCCACATGTCCTCCGTGTGTTTCAACCCAGACGCCACCAGGGCACAGCTCAGAGAAAGCATCACTCGGCTAGAAGACTCGAAACAGTCCTCATCACACCAACATTTTTCCCACCCTCGAAGAATCCAGTACTTTCCCATAATATGACTCCAAATATCACTTGCCCTCTTTGAAACTGCATCACCTTTGAAATGTATTGTGAGACTGATCACTGCCTTCCTATCTAGCAGCAACAATGACCAGTTCCCCAAAGGGAAATGTTGGGTTATTCCGTCAGTAATTGAGCTGCTTGGTCACATGCAGCCCATGGGTTCAGAAGCCTCACATCAGCGGGGGCCACGTGGGCATGTCTGGGTCTAAACCACTGGTGCTGGTGACAAGCAGTATTTTAACCCTGGAGCCAGAAAGCAGGCCGTGTGCAAGGGCAAGGGCTGGGGGAGGGATGGACTGAGGGATGCATTAGCTGATGCAAAGTATTATATATAGAGGATGGATCAACAGCATGGTCCTCCTGTATACAGGGAACTATAGTCAATATCCTGTAATAAACCTAATCGAAAAGAATACCAGAAAGAATGTATATACATGTATAACTGAATCGCTTTGCGATTCAGTGGAATTAGTTACAGTGGAAACTAACACAATATTGTAAATCAACTCTACTTCAATAAAATAAATTAAAAAAAAAAATCGATCCTGCAAGCCCCATTCAGTTTAGTCACTCAGTCGTGTCCGACTCTTTGTGACCCCATGGACAGCAGCACACCAGGTCTCCCTGTCCATCACCAACTCCCCGGAGTTTACTCAAACTCATGCCCATTGAGTCAGTGAGACCTTCCACCCATCTCATCCTCTGTCGTCCCCTTCTCCTCCCCCCCTCAGTCTTTCCCAGCATCAGGGTCTTTTCAAATGAGTCAGTTCTTCGCATCAGGTGGCTAAAGTATTGGAGTTTCAGCTTCAGCATCAGTCCTTCCAATGAACACTCAGGACTGATTTCCTTTAGGATGGACTGGTTGGATCTCCTTGCAATCCAAGGGACTTTCAAGAGTCTTCTCCAACACCACAGTTCAAAAGCATCAATTCCTCGGTGCTCAGCTTTCTTTATAGTCCAACTCTCACATCTATACATGATCTCTGGAAAAACTATAACCTTGACTAGATGGACCTTTGTTGACAAAGTAATGTCTCTGCTTTTTAATATGCTGTCTAGGTTGGTCATAACTTTTCTTCCAAGGAGTAAGCGTCTTTTAATTTCATGGCTGCAGTCACTATCTGCAGTGATTTTGGAGCCCAAGAAAATAAAGTCAGCCACTGTTTCCACTGTTTCCCCATCTATTTGCCATGAAGTGATGGGACTGGATGCCATGATCTTAGTTTTCTGCCCCATGACAGGTAGCAATTCATTGCTGGGAAGAGAGGGTAGGCAACTTGACACTAGCAAACTAACCCAGTATTGCCAGATCCGATATCTCTGCGGGAAGCTAGAAACCTAGACCTTTGGTGGGAAATCTGATTTTTAAATGACGGCCACTAATTATGTCAACAAAATGCCACAGGCTGTGTTTCACAGGGCCTGGGAGCCTCCTACATGCCGCGTCTAAAGGCAGCCAGCAGGCCTTCGGGGGCCGAGCCTGCTTGATCTCTGAGAAGGAAGGCTGTCAGGGTGAGCACCCTGGAGGCTCCTGTAGCACGGTGGGCTCCTGACTCCCACGGGGATGTCAGCTAAGCTTCAGATGACCTCTGCACTTATTCCTCCTCTTGCAAAGGAAGAAGGGGCTGTGCCCAAGGCCAGCTGTTCTCCAGAAGGTTCTCACCTGTGCCTTTCAGATGCCGAGCTCTCCTGGCAAGCGAACCAGTGGCATTTAAGAATTAGATGTGATCACTTGGCACTTCCAGACCTGATTGTTCCAGAAGACAAGACTTGGGGAATCTCTTACACTGTTTTCTTTTGATCACGCCACATAGCATGTGGGTCCTTGGTTCCCTGAACCGTGATCAAACCTGTGCCCCCTGCAGTGGAAACACAGAGTCTTAACCACTAGATAGCCAGGGAAGTCCCCCTCTGATACCTCTTTTTGCCTTACACATTATTGAGGATTTAGTTGTCTTAACATACTTTCGCCCCCTTCACCCAAAGATGTATGCATTGCATGCTCAGTTGCTAAATCCTGTCAACTCCATGGACTGTAGCCCGCCAAGCTCCTCTGTCCATGGAATGTCCCAGGCAAGAATGCTGGAGCGGGGACTTCCCAGGTGTTGCAGTGGATAAGAAAACGCCTGCCAATGCAGAGAACACGGGTTCGATCCCTGGTCCAGGAAGATTCCACACGCTGCGGAGCAACTAAGCCCACGTGCCACAACTACTGAAATCTGCGTGCTTTAGGCCTGCGACAAAGAGTAGCCCCCACTCTCCGCAACTAGAGAAAGCACTCATGCACCAATGAAGACCCAGCACAGCCATAAATAGATAAAATTATTAAAAAAAAAAAAAAAAAGAAAAAGAATGCTGGAGCAGGTTGCCATTTCCTCCTCCAGGGGATCTTCCCAACCCAGGGATCAAACCCGACTCTCCTGCTTGGAGGCAGATTCTTTACCACTGAGCCACCTGGGAAGCCCTTCACCCAAAGATAAATGAATCCTTTTCCAATGTCCTTTGAGGACAGAGACCATTTTTATATCCCCAAGAGCACCTGGCTTTAAGATTCTCAGCAAATATTTGTTGTGTTGAACCTTGTAATCCAGTCCCTTCAGGCTTACTGGGAACATGTATCTTTTTTGTAGAACAATACAGACTTAAAAGGTGTACAGAGGCCCAAGTGTTCACTAATCCAGGGTGAAACCTGGAAGTTATGCCTTCGAATAAATCCCCTGCCCACCCACTGTTTTTCTTTTTCTGACTGTGGTTTCCTGAAATAAAATGCAGAAAAAATTCCACTTGTTGGAAGGTTCTGCTTATTTAATTGAGTTCTGGTTAACTGACTGTTTCCTTAACTTGAAGGGATGATATCATTATTGTTGTTGCTGCTGTTGTTTTAAGTATCCAAACCAAGCCCAAAGCAAGCAGAAAAGGACGCCTGTTGTACTTTCAAATAGTGCTTTAATCCTGTTTTACGTGGGCTGTTCTCTGGACAACCCTCCAAACCCTCACCCCATCTCCTGCAGTCTGCCTAGCCTGGGCCCCCGCCCACCCCTCTCCCTCTGCTAACACGAATGTGAGCTCAGAGATGAGCTTTCTGAGAGCTTGGAAGGCCATGGTTTGAGCCTGCCCTCCCTTCCCTGATATGGGGTCCCCTGTGCCCTCAGCCTTCTCTCTGACCACCTCTTCCGCCTTGGAGCACACAGGAGCCAACAGTTACCTCCAGCTCTCAACGCCACCAGCTCCCAACTCCCTTGTCCCAGGCACCCACCTGATGGCCGCGCCTTGAGAGGCAAACCACACGGAGGTGCCCGACTGCCAGGGTCCAAATCCTGGCTCCAACCTCTGAGCAGCTCCGCAGCCGTCCTAAGCTACAGAACTTCTCATCGCCTCAGTCTCTGCTTCTGTAAAATGGGAGGGCCCAGGGGAGCCCTTGCCGAGATTATCCGCTTAAAAAGATCAAGTGAAGGTGACAGGTATTCAGTGCCTGAAACACACACCATGCTGTCATTGTGAACAGCTGACAATCCCACACGTGCTCAAAACCATTACACGTCCAAGGAGCCAAACTGTAAAATTCCCCCTCTGACCACAACTTTCTCTCACTCCCCAGGGGCTGACTTTTCATTTCTGCAGGGATCCCCCAAGACTCCTGATCTCCCCCATAATGCCCCAGCCCCTCCGCTTTCACCAAGGAAACTTCCTCATCCTCAACTTTGTGTGGTCTGTCCTGTTCGACTCTTTGTGACCCCATGGACTATAGTCCACCAGGCTCCTCTGTCCATGGGATTTTCCAGCAAGAATACTGGAGTGGGTCGTCATGCCCTCTTCCAGGGGATCTTCCCAACCCAGGGATCAAATCCACATCTCCTGCATTGGCAGGTGTGTTCTTTACTGCTTTTACAGAAGTATTTTCTGATCAGTATCCATCCTGCCCCCTCCACCCCAGGACAGAAGCCTGTTATCTCAAGAGGAGGATGGGGAGAGAATAATAGGTGGTGAAAGGGTAAGTGAAATTACCTAAGTCAAGGTCAGAAGGGCCTAGCTGGGCTTTTGTTTAAATTCAAAGCCACTTTCACGGTTCTGGGCCCAGCACACATCTTGTCTCCCCCTGTGGAGGGAAACCCATTAGGTTTGCATGGTATGTGCTTGAAAGTTACCTGAGGAGGCTTTAAAATGCTCAGAAGGCTGCCCTGGTCCCATGACATGTGGGTTTAGATTTGGAGTGGGGCCTGACATGATTCTTTCAGGTTGTGGTGCCGGAGAAGACTCTTGAGAGTCCCTTGAACTGCAAGGAAATCCAACCAGTCAGTCTTAAAGGAAATCAACCCTAAATATTCACTGGAAGGACTAATGCTAAAGCTGATGCTCCAATACTTTGGCCACCTGATGCGAAGAACCAACTCATTGGAAAAGACCCTGGTGCTGGGGAAAATTGAAGGCAGAAGGAGAAGAGGGCAACAGAGGGTGAGATAGTTGGATGGCATCACCGATTCAATGAACATGAACTTGGGCAAACTCCAGGAGATGGTGAGGGACAGGGAAGCTTGGCATGCTGCAGTCCATGGGGTCACAAAGAGTCGGACACGACTCGGCAACTGAACAACAACAACTGGACATGAACTTTACAAAGGAAAATCACTGCTCTGTCCTGGTTTGGGGGCTTCACTGGTGGCTCAGTTGTAAAGAATACGCTGGCCAATGCAGGGGATGCCAGAGATGTGGGTTCGATCCCTGGGTTGGAAAGATCCCCTGGAGTAGGAAATGGCAACCCATTCCAATATTCTTGCCTGGAGAATTCCATGGACAGAGGAGCCTGGTGGGCTACAGTCTATGGGGTGGCAAAGAGTCAGACATGACTTAGCGAATGAGAACATCCTGGATTCATAAACTCCTGCCCAAGGGCCAAACCTGGCCCTCTTCCTGTTTCTGTAAATAAAGTTTTATTGGAATGCAGCCATGCTCACTCATTCTCTGGCAAAGCTGAAAATATTTACCCAGAACTCATGCCAATTCCTGCTCTAGATAGGCAGGAAGAATTTGATGATGAAATCAGGCTCCATTCAAGACAAACCAAAATGAATCAAACTGCTAGTAATGACTTCTCCCACCTACTTCACCACCTACTTCCAAAGCTATAGGGCAGGAGCTGCCCGACTGGCAGAAAAAATGGATTGTGCTAGAAGTCAGAGCAGTGAGGGTAAGAGGGGCAGTGACTGACACACAAGAGGGCTTGTGATGCTGGAGGGGTCCCACATCTTGATCCCTCATGTGCATCTACATAAAAACTCACCCACCTGCACATTTAGGATGAATGCGATTTACTGTATGTACGCTGCTTTGCTGCTTCGTGACTCAGTCGTGTCCGACTCTGCGGCCCCATGGACCATAGCCCACCAGGATCCTCTAACTGGGCAAGAATACTGGAGAGGGTTGCCATGCCCTCCTCCAGGGGGTCTACCCAACCCAGCGAGCAAACCCGTGTCTCTTACATCTCCTGCACTGGCAGGCAGGTTTTTCGCCACCTGGGAAGCCCTTTAGTCGCAACTGCCCCCAGTTGGAATCACCAAGATGTCCTTCAATAGGTGGATGGATACATCATAGTACATCCACACGAAGGAATATTGTATTTTCGGCACAAAAAAGAAATGAGCTCTCAAGCCATGAAAAGACATGGAGGAACCTTAATGCACACTACACGGGGAAAGAAGCCAGGCTGAAAAGACTACATACTGTATGGATCTAACTCTATGACGTTTTGGAAAAGCCTCAGCTACGGAGACAGGAAAAAGATCAATGGTTGCCAGCGTTTAGAGACGAGGAGGATGAATAGCTGGAATCCAGGGGATGTTTAGGGCGGTGAAACTCGTCTGTGATACTCTCATGGCGGATACACGCCATTACACATTTGTCAAAGCCTACAGAAGGCATCACTGACTCAATGAACGTGAGTTTGAGCAAACTCTGGGAGACGGTGAAGGACAAGGAAGCCTGGCGTGTGGCAGTGCATGGGGTCACAAAGAGTCAGACACGCTGAGCAACTAAACAACAATGGAAGGTACAACACCAAGGGTGGACCCGGATGGAAGCTATGGACTTCAGCTAACAATGCACTGGTTCATCACAGCAAATGTATGACATTAATGCAAGATGTTAACAATAGGGGGAACTTTGGGGTGGGGAGGGGCTCAGGGGAACTCTCTGTACTTTTTGCTCAGTTTTTCGGTAAACCTAAAACCACTCTTAAAAATGGTCACAGGTTGGGGGTGGTGCTCTGTCTAGCCAGAGTAAAGTCAGGGGTGGGGTTGGAGAGGACCATGTACCCCAGGCACACACATCCCCTTCCCAGCAAACTTCCTTTCTTTTAAAGATTTTTTTTTAATATAGGCCATTTTTTAAGTCTTTTTTTGAATTTGTTATAATACTGCTTGTTTCATGCTTTGGTTTTTTGCGTGAGAGCCGTGTGGGGTCTCAGCTTCCCAACCAGGAATCAAACCCACACCCCCTGCAATGGAAGGTGAAGTCTTAACCACTGGACAGCCAGGGAAGTCCCCCTACAAACTTCTAAAGCACATTCAAATTGGGGGCAAAAGTTTGATTTAATTCTCCGTTCCGCAGTGATTTAATAGTCTCTTTAAAAGTTGCCCTTTATTGGTTTAAAATACTTTAAAAACTAATTCTTTATCAAACATCCTATTTTAAATACTGCTATCATCTTTCAAATACTCTGACAAGCCTTCTGCTTTCCACTGTGGCAAAGGTCTGAGGAAAGACAGTATTTTTTCTCCCTCCTTTACTTTGCTACAAAAATACATCTGAGATGATGTCTAGAATTTGCTCCAAAATAAGCTGGGGGCGGGGAGTGGGCGGGGGTAAAGATGAAATAGTCTGGCCACGTGTTGATCATGACTGAAGCTGAGCAATGGGAACATCAGGGGCATTGTTCTCTGTACTTTTATGTAAATCTGATTTAAAAAATAGAAAAATAAAGAAATCATCAGAGGTAGATTCGACTTTGCATCGAGGCAAGGCACGTTTCAGAGAAAAAAGAATTAAAGGTCTATAGATTGCTATTCTGGGGGCCATCTGTGGTCAAAAACAACAAAAAAAAATTCAGACCTAAAAATCCCCAGTTGAGTAACTGGCTGCTACAGCTGGATGCATGAGGTAAAATTCCAGAAAGTAGGTCCTTTCTTCTGGGCTTACCAGTTCTTCTGCAAAAAAAGAAAGGCCACCCCTCTCTATGGAGTAAAAATGCCCACCCACCTCCTAACTGGACAGTCAGTACAGTGAAAGACAGAAAGCCTCGATCCACACTCACGCTCCATCCTTGCTGTGTACTTGGTTCTGGACAGGGCACTAAACCACTCAGAGCCTCAGTTTACTCATCTGGAAAATGGGAGAATAGCATTTAACTGCAGATGGCCAAGGTTTCCAGGAGGAAAAACACCTACGGTGCCAGACCAGAGCGGGGCATGTTGTTAATATCACTCTACATATTGTTTGACTCATTCATGGTCAAAAGTTTTGAGAACGGGAGAAAGTGAGAAAAAGCCTTGGCTGGTGATGATCTTTTTGGATGCTTTCCATTGGATGCTTTTTCCTCATTGTTGAAAAGCAGCAGGATGCTACTATATATTTCTTCAGCCCTGACACCCACTTAGTCAGGCGGCTCTCGCGCTAACAGCAGTGTGTGTGGGGTGGCAGGGAAGATGTGGCAGGAAAGGGGACCCCAGAAAGTGACAACTAAGACCATATCCACCTGTTCCCCTCCCCTCGTGCCCCCAAGCTTGTTAGTAATGCAGGAACAGTGGCCTAACCCAGGCCTTCGGAGCCCAAATCTTCATTTTAACGAGATCTGCATGCTCGTTGCCATCCAGGAGTCCTCCTTTGTCCCATTTTCAAGGTAAACTCAGTCATGACGACAAAGACGGGGGAAGGAACCCACACTTAAAAAGGCCTTGCTAATCCAGCGGGTGAGCCGTGGGGGCTAGACGGACTTTTCTAGATGTAACATCAGCGCCATCACCCTTCAGACTCCAACTTCTTGTTTCAGATGACAGCACATCCTCATCCTTGCCCAACATCTGGGCCAGGAAGGCAGGTCTGGGGCTGCTGGGATGTCTCAACAGATGCTGGTTGCTAAGCGCTCAGAGCTTTGATTCAAAGGTCAGCACCACAGAGGTCTGAGTATGGAAGTGAATAAAAGAACAGACTTCCCTTTGGCCACCACAGTTTTCCCCTCTAGTTTCTGTTCTTTATTTCTTTTTAAAGAGACATCCCCCTGGAGAAGGAAATGGCAACCCACTCCAGTACTCATGCCTGGAAAATCCCACGAACAGAGGAGCCTGGTAGGTTACAGTCAGTGGGGTTGCAAAGAGTTGACACACGACTGAGCGACTTGACTTTACTTTTAGTCCCCATTTTAGAATTTCATTGAGAAAAGAGTATAAACGTTGTGGAGATATGCATATTTTTTAATATCACACATATATGTATAAGAGTTTTTAATATATACACATATATGTATGAATTATGGAGAGCTAAAATTATATATTATTATTGTTGTTGTTATTACTGTTCAGTCACCCAGCCATGTCTGACTCTTTGTGACCCCGCGAACTGCAGCAGGCCAGGCCTACCTGTTATTTATATATTGTTATACAGTATATACATTTGTGTAGCATATATAGTTGTGTTATAAATAATATTTATATATTATAGAACACACTTATGTATCTAATATACATTAAA